GGCAGCTGTATTTCGTCAGAAAAACCGACACTGGTCCGTTTTACTTCAGAATTGAAATTCCACAACATAAAAGCTTCACTTTCTCAAACAATAAGGTGACCCTCGATATCTTCCGTGAGTATATTAGAGACCTGTTCAGTATTTCTAAACCATTTACTTTAAGATAGTAAAACATGTTTAAATAACTATTTAACAAGTGATTTTGTGAAAATTCTTGATTGTACAGAAGTTCCTGAGCCTCCCGTGATGACTATAGAAGTCCGTAATAAAGTGACTGCCACCTGCAAAGTAACTCACGTCTGTCCAACATCTCCTCCCCACATCTCCTGGAGCCGCGCAGGAACGTGGACAACAATGTCAAAACAGGAGAATAAATGGTTGTGGTCAACAACGTCGACCATGACCTTCACCCCTCAAGAAGCCGATATTAACAAGCCTGTAGAATGTATGGTGACATTCCATGGCAGGAAGACCACAAAGGGGTCTGTGCTTCTCACCAAGTAGAGGACTAAGTTTAACTACGTATGCAGTTTTAGATTACAGCAATATTATTAGAGCTGTCTGCTATAATGACAAATTGATTTTGCAGAAAAAGGCCTGAATTAGTAAAACTGCAAAGAAAAAAATACATTCAGAGAGACAAGAAATTCTTATTGATGCATGCTTTGATTCATATCACCTTCTGAGTTTAACTTTACATAAATCTTTTGAACATGTGTTAGAGGCACAAAAGTTAGGAGTCTTTTTTTATCTTTAATGATTTTCTAATAGGATTTATGGAATAATCTTGTTTTGCTGGTTTCTTTCTTTTACTCTTCATCAACTGTAAGACGATACACTGACTATTAAATGTACGTCATACTCTTAGTCTACAAGTTTTCCTTTTCTTTTCTATTAAATATTTCATCAAAGTGCTAAGATTATAACATTTGTGTGTTTATCTCTTAACTTTTGTCTCAGTTATCTGGAGTGTGTGAAGTGGGGGACTGTCATGGCTGCAGCCTCCCATTGGTGGTGAAAATTAAACTTTTTATTTAGTACTTAAAATAGACCACAAAGAACCTTCATCAACAGAAGAATTGCACAAATAGCGACAGAAGTTATAGTGTTATGCAATTTAAATCTACATTTAATAATTTACTGGATAAAATCTTGCTGCCAAGCTAAATATTTTTACCAGTGGGAGAGTCCTTTAAAAAAGAAATGTAGATAAAATATTTATGGAAACATGAACTTTTCTCTACTAATCAGAATATGATAGTCTTTCCTCTTTCAAAGATTGAGATAATGACCTGATGCATTATATTTAAGTAGTTTGTCAACTGCACTGACGAGAAGAAAAGAGGGGAAGTAGAATTTAAATTACTTTGCCATTATTTTTGGCGTTTTCCATGCTTTGGAATCACATAGCATACCACATCATTATGCATTGCTAACTTTTAAATAGTAATCTTCTAGCAATGGAGTAACAAAGCATGCTCTGGTGCTCCAGCAGCAGCAACAGATGAAAAGAGATTTACAGAAATAAAAATTCAGCTTAAACAGCACTGGAGTTGTTTGGTTAACACTGGCATAGAGTGGCATCTATATTAAAAGTTCCTCCAGCAATAAGTTATATGCTGCTTGTAAGAGAATAACTGAAGAAAGATGAACCTCTGCAAAACGATGAACATGAAGAGGTCTCTCATCTTGATTTGACAACAATCTCCCCTGGAAAATATTTCTCCCAAGTGGCTGTTATCTGCTTCACATTAGTTCTTGTTTTTTAAGTCAAACATTTTCTGTTGTCAATGAAGAATTTAAAATAAAATACGCTGTTTGTGTCAGCTATGGACAGCAATGCCAAAAGCAAAAACGAGGTTGAAACTTTTACGTTTTCTTTTTGAGTAATAGATGTTGATGTTTTGAAAAATTTCACTGAGGTTTGTAGCAACTTCCCTTTCTGAGAGTTAATTCTGAACACACATACATGCACTTAGATGTGGGTTTTTCCACACTAGACCAAGAGTACACGCCCAACAACCACCACGTTTTCTTCGTTTATTATTGAACAGTCACA